TTCCAGTGACTAGGCCCAGAAAATCCTGTGTTAGTTTTTACAGGTCTTCATACCATGCTGTATGAAGTCATTGCAGAAATGAAATCTGTAGTTAGAGCTGGGTGATTGGGAGTAGACAGACAGTTGTACACATAGGGATATATTTCTGATATCTCTATCTTATTTTTAGTAATAACTAAGTTGATATATGATGCATTCATTATATGTAATTATTTATTATACCTTAATAAAACTCAAGAAATTACGAATATATTCTGATATGTAATAAAAATACTTAAACATTTGGAAAAACAAGACCATGTGTAAACATGTACTGAAATCTGATATAACTATATTAAAGTTCCTAAGTGGTAGCAGAAGCGTATTGAAGATGGTAGCATTATAGGAGTTACTGTTGGCGTTTCGAGACAGGCTCTTGCTTTGCAGTCCAGGCTGCTCTGGGTCTCTGATGCTGCTGCCTCAGTCTGAGTGCAGGCATGCACAGGTAAAATACTCAAACATTCAAGATCAGGGACAAGCGAATGAAGTAAAAACTGTCACAACATGTTATTCTCTAGCTGCTAAACATGCAGGCATCTGGGTGTACGTCAGAGCCGAATCAGACTTTTCCATGTGAACTGTACGTGTGTAGTAAGTATCTTCTATTTAGTTTGGACCTATATTGGTACAGAACAAGACAACTCGAGGATGGCATCAAATTATCAAATTATCTGTTTACTTTATTGTTTCTCTCAGGATGTTTTGTAGTGTGTTTTATAAAGATTTATATTCTGGACTCCTAGATCGGAAGATTATCAGTGTCTTTGAAAAGTAACATGCTTCTATAACTGTTGACTAGATTGATGCTCTGGGACTGCAGATTCAGGCCAGAGACAGAAAGCGCACAGCGTATGTGGCTCCATCCACACCGTGGCCCCCAAATCCAAAAATAAAAACAACAACAACAAAAACAAATCCCAGAGCCTCCAAGCAAAAATCAATACAACCGGGGGTTGGGGGAAGAGACAAGGGTTGAGTGTGCCCTTGTGTGCTAATGAAGAAATGGATGCTGTGTACATGTGGACTTTGAGCTTTGAGTGCACTGTTGTGATGTACCAGAATTCAGTTAGTTAAGTGAATGTTATTAATATTTCATTAATAGTTATTTTTAATATTAATATAATAATGCTGTAGTTTCTTGGAGTCTGAACCTGAAATCTTATTTCTCTGCTTTTGTTCTTTTTTACAAATTTGCCTTTATACCATTGCAACTTACAGTGGTTTGCAGCTATCCAAGTAGAAACAATACCTTGCAAGAATTAATGGTAAAGTATAGACATGTTTTATGAGCACTACGGTCTGATTTTTGACAGAGAATTCTTTCCCACCCCACCTCAGTGCTTATGAATCTTTTTTGATAGAGAGTGTGACTTAACTGGCAATTTGTGTTTGAATTCTAATGTGTGTACATGATAAAGAAGCACACAATTAGATAGGTGTTATAAATAGGATTTTGGAATCATGTTACCAAGATTTCATAGCCTGTGCTCATTGCTGTTTGCTAGTCTTTAATTTCACTCTTTGGTCTAACCAGCTGATGCCCAGTTGAAAAGTCTTGAAGCCACAACAGCCTTAACATTCTGCAGCAACCTCAGATGCTAGACAACAGCAGCTTCCGTGCTCATCTATCAAACGGAGTGAGGGAGAGGAAGCTTCCCGAGAAACACACAGCAGCGCCTAAACAGCTAATCACTCTGCGCTTCCGCTTCCAGGCCCTATAATTAGAAGCCCTTCTTTTCCTTGTATTCCCAGATGACGCAAATGCTTTTTGTGGCTTGGCACCTCGTTTGGGGCGTGGGTTTAGTTTCTGGCCTGGCCAGCGTCTGGTTTAGTCTCCTGATGCTGCACAAATAGTTCTCTAGCCACAGTCTGCTCCATATTCCTTTTTCCTTTTATGTGTATATGCTTTAAAACTGTTTTCTAGAAAAAGAGGGAGCTTACTGTTTCTTTGCAGAATGTATGTAAAAGGGGAAATTGTAAATTACAAAAGCACTTGATTCTGTAGAACTGCACTAGCTGCCTCTTCCTTTCCTTTCTGCCTTTTTAAGTTTCTATTTTCTAAAAGTTTTGTGATTCATATGAATTCACTCGTGGGTTCTGTTTGGGTATATAGAAGAGAATAACATCTGAGGCAGGCTACACACATGATCCAGCGGTTCCCACGTGAAGGGCTGTTGTCCTAAGGGTTTGGAGGGGTTTACATAGGAACAACTAGGCAGATCAATGCTGAGACACGTGCATGTGTGGATGCCATTCACATGGTTTAGTCAGCCTTCCATTTAAATGCTCATACAAGCAGAGTGCTGGTCGTGAAAGAAGGATATTGCTGTTCATCTGTAGTATGTGAGTATGTATGGATTAGAAATACATACGCACCTTTTTTTCTCATTAAAATGATGTACCTGTTGTGTGTCAAATGTCCCAAACTGATTTTTGTAGAAAGGTAGAATCAGAAGATAGCAGTTGAGTTGTGGCTGCTCAAACGTACTGTAACCGAGCAAAAAGCAAGAGAGGAAAATGCATGCCCTGAATGGTTGTGACCGAGGTAGGAGTTCATAATGACTCACAAAAAGGAAGGAATGTGAAGTGGCCGTATGGATCTTGGTGCAAGAGAAGCTAATTCATGTATTAACAGATTATTACCTATTATTAAGTTACTTACAATAATACTTTTCATCATCTAAAATGTATATAGGCAGGGAAAATGTTATGTGATGATTACTGCATTACCTAGACCTACATTTTGCCAGGGAAATTGGACACACAGATGGACTGTAAGTGAAGATCTTACCTCTTGTGTTCATTCATGCCCTTTGTTACTGCATGACAGTAAAACACTCTACACAAAAATACAATGAGACCATCTCTCTAAGCTAGATGCGTACAATGCACGCTCTGGAATAATCCTCAAAGCCATAGCTTAAAGCAAAAATATTAAAAAGAAAGATTTCTTACTTCCCTAGTAGGGGAGGTACCATGATCAAGAAGGTAGTTTTCATCTATCTCCCATGGGTCTGCCAGCCCCCATGCTTTCCTCAAATATGGAGAACTCAACTGCATAATTTGTGGTAGCTGAGAACTGTGCTCTTGGTCTTCCCTAGACTCCTTACAAACAATTCCAAAGAGCCAGGCTGTGGTGGAGCACATCTTTAACCCCAGCACTCCTATGCCATTATTTTATAGAAGTATGTGCTTTGTGGAGGCAGAGGCAAGATGGATCTGTGAGTTTGAGGCCAGCCTGGTCTATAGAGCCAGTTCCAGGATAGCTAGGGCTACACAGAGAAACCCTGCCTCAAAAACATAAAAAACAACAACAATAGCAGCAGAAGCAGTACTAATCCAAACTAGAAAAAGGTAAGTCTACATGAGGAATAAACATTGTTCTGCATAAAACCAAGCAAAGAAAAAGGATACAAGCAGATAAATTAAACAACGGAAACTTAAATTCCACCACTAATAAATGTACTATGTGAGACTCTAGTAAGTGCAATCATTAAATTCATACTGGATTATAGAGAGATGGCAGTGGTCTGTAATCTGAAAAAGCAGCATGGAGTAGCTTTCCCTGTACTCCCAGGCAAGAGGTTCAAGTTTCCGAATTCAGCTATCAATTAATAGAGGGGCCCCTGTACCTGATGGAATAATATTCAGAAAAAAAACCCAGTGACATCTTAAGGGTTGAAGTAGCCAGGCAGAGAAGCCCAGTCGCCAAGCGGTCTCTCACATAGGTGGAATCTACAGTGTTACCCGCGTTGGTTGCCAGAGAACCTAAGGAGGTTGGCGTGCGGTGGATAGGGTGTAAGGTGTGCAGGCGTGCAGCGTTGAGGGTACAGAACCACGCTGCACGCTCAGAAAGCCAAGAGCTGCACCTGATGTACTTAGGCAGTACATGCATGTGTCTAGCCACACAATTTCTGTGTTTTTCAGGTATCACTCAAAATAAGTTTAATTGTAAAAAGGCACTCACCTCCCTGGGGACAACAGCTGGAGACTTAACCCAGAGCCTTCTATGTACAAAGCAGGAACTCTGCAGATATGGTTTAAATAGCCAAACAGATAGACACATGCACACAAATCCTGTTTCCTAAACAATAGCCCTTTGTAACTTGTTCCTTTTGCTGTGGAAATTGGATAAATGTGTTATTTTTTGATTCACTGGCTTAAAACCAAAAACGTGAAATCTCAGATTGGCCAAAGAACACATGACCATGACATCTTTACAAAGTCAAGAATATTCTCTCTTTTTTTTTTTTATTAATTATTTATACAGTATTCTGTAGTGCATGTATGCCTATATGTCAGAAGATGGCTGCAGATCTCATTGTAGACAGTTGTGAGCCACCATGTGGTTGCTGGGAGTTGAACTCAGGACCTTTAGAAGAGCAGACAGTGTTCTTAACCTCTGAGCCATCTCTCCAGCCCCCAAGGATATTCTTTATAGAAGGTACAATTGGCAGTTTCAGTAAATACCTTGCTGGGGTATTTTATTAAAATTTAAATTTACATGTGTGTATGTGGTGTGTCTGGGTGTTTGTGGAGGTCAGACAACAAGTAAATTACACGAGCATCTTAGTTTGATCTGTGTGTAGACCGAATGTATGTCTTCAGTGCGGCACTACAGGCTGGACATTTTCACAGGAGTCCTGGGGAGTGAACTCAGGTCTGCATCCGGGCAGAACCACCTCTCCAGTCCAGCTTGGTTCCCAGTCCCCATGCACGTTCTGGCAATTGCTGTAAACTTTGTAATTTCTCCCTGCTCCTCACACAAGGACGTCCTATGCCCTTTGTTGATGCTGGTGTGATGTTCATAGAAAGAATGTAGTTTATTTTAATTCTTTTATTGCATACCTTGATGCTTTCCCCTGGAATAACATTTAAAAGTATCACTCATTCTGAAAGTATCTCATCCAAATACAATCATTTTTATTTTTATCCTTTGCTTTTTTTTTTTTATCTTCCAGGAATGCTTTTAGTCACAACAGACACTCTTGGCCATGACTTCCATGTCTTCCAAATTCTGACTCATCCTTGGTCATCATCACAAAGTGCTGTCCATCATCTGTACACTCTTCACAGGGGAGAAACCGAAGCCAAAGTAAGTTGTGTGCTCTTCCCCACCTGCCTTCTCCGTGCAGTATGTCCTTGGAGATAATTGGAGATTAGTATTTATGAGAAAACCATATTATCTGTGGTAGAGTGAATTCTAGTACATTTTGACCTAATTAATACATAAAACAAACAAACAGACTCCCTGATTGTTAAAAATGCTAGTGAGGACTGGCTTAGCACTTGAACTGATCCAAGTTCAGATCTCAGATCTCAGGCAACCCACAGCGTCCTGTAGCAACAGGAGAAGATCCATGAGAGCCAGTGTTCTCTTTAACTTTCTGTGGGTATCTGCACACATATACACTCACACACACACACCAGTAGCTAAGTAAGTTATCTTTTTTAATATGTTGACAGTTGAGAAGATCAGCAGCATGTCTTTATTCTTGCATCCTAACTCCTGCCCTGCCTTTTTTTTTTCAACAAATGAAAAATGGCTGTCAGTTGCTATGCATTTTTTTTTTATTTGTGGATTTGTATGTAAATTATTTGGCCAGTAATGTAACATGTACTTTTTGAGAGCTAGTTTTCTGTTGTTTCTTTATATATTTTTGGACAGGGTCTCATGTGGCCCAGGTTGACTTTGAACGCGCGGTGTAGCTAAGGATAGTCAGATCCTTTTGTCTTCACCTCCCCAGTGCTTGAATTACAGCTGGGAGCCACCGTAGTAGGCAGGGGTTAGTTTTTAAACCTTTATGCATTCAACCATACATTTCCATAATTCTTTCCTGTATAGAATTTGCTAATTATTTTGTTAGGTACTTTAGTAGGGACTTTATATTGATGCAGTAGTAACAGCACGGTGTGGATAGTCTGTTTTCTTCCTTAGCCTGAAATCTAAGATGGTGATTTGTTCTCACAGAGCTGGTGGCTCTGCGCATCCCAGCACACCGCCACGTACGGCTGCACTTTAGAATGAGTCACTGGTATGCTGGGACTTGCGACCCTATCTGCATTCTCACCGCTGGGAGGGGAGCTCGGGGGGGACTGACTGAGGTTACAGAATGAGTTTAGAGAGCAGCCTGTTTGGTTCTGCTTGTGGGAGGGGCCGTGGGGCTGAGGAGGCACTACTAGGCATTTATTTTGTAATATAGCAAACTATCAAGATTCAATAGCAAGATATCAATAAATATCAAGATTTTATTTTCATTGATTTTGTGTATTTTAGGCTCTTCATAAAGCCAGACATATTTATTTTTTATTTTTATCTTTTTGCTGGCGCAGCGCTCAAACTCAGGACCTCTTACATGCTTGGCAAGAGTTCTCGCCCTGAGCTGTAGCCCAGCCCTGCCGTGACTGGTCAGCACGGCCCTGCAGCCCATAGTGACCAGGAATGTACTGCAAATGAGAACAGTTTTTACACAGTCATAAGAAGCCTGAAGTACTAAGTAAAAATACTTGTACCCTGGTATCCACTTAAATGTCATTAGTAGTTGTTTTAACAACTAGCTTCTGCTCTAGCCCAGGAAAGTGAGGGGTTAGATGTTTAGTTTATTTCTTTCAGAAATAGTTCATCATTTCCTGGCTGTTTATGCACATTAAATATTACAGCCCATTTCTTCTCTAGAGTCTTCCACAGTTGTCACAGAGGCGTTGATATTCTCATTTTATTCTGTGATAAAGTGTGCTAGGTTCTTACTATGTTCTCTAGTCTTCCTGGAAGCCTCCTTCCCCCGCAGATTTGCAAATTAGTTGCTCAGGATATCAGTATATCATTTTGGGTGTTTTCCTTTTTTTATATTTACTTTTTATAAGGAAACGGTTTTTTATTTTTTCAAGCATTCAGAGTGGTCCAGATTTTGCATGGCCTCGGATGTATCTCAGACATGTCTTGAGATATCTCTGTCATGTCTTGAGCATTCTTTGATGTGGAACTGACTTCTTTATGTGCATCTTAGTTGTTTTTGAATCTTATTTTGTGCAGTACTGTTATTGTAGATGAGCCTTTTAAGTGTAGATTTCATATCTCTAGACATAGTTCATTTTCTCTTTTATAAAACCTGTTTGCCGAATAGGCATCCCCTAGGCTTATCACAGCCATTGAGAATATGAATACTTCAGCATCTGAGCTCTCTTTTTGATGCTTAGTTTTTATTAGTGTTATTTAACTTAAAACCTAATAGTTCAATAAGAAACAACAGTTATGCTAAGGTTCCTGATGCCTGCAAGTCTTAAAACAGTGCCCACTTTTTAAATTTGGTATTGCCAGCCAAAGGCCCATTTTTTTTTTTAGGTTGACAAATGAAATAGAAATTATTAACAACGATTTTGCTTCAGGGTCTGCCTTGTAATTTGGAATTTCTAAAAGCTAAACATAAAGATAGAAGGGCCTCAGTTGGTAACCATAAAATTAATCGTTATAAGGTCCTACTGAAAATTATTTTGAACTGATAAAATTTAATACTGATCATGAAATCTGTCTGGCACATGATTTATCTGGCCATCTTTGAGTACTCGAAAAATTATATTATTCTGAATTCTTGCAAGAACTCCAAGGGCACTTTAATCAGGCAGGGGAAAAATAAAGTGTATGGATCTAATTATGTTGAGTTAAGTTGTTCTGTGGTCTTGACTGGGGATACCCCGTGCATCTGACAGTAATTTTCCTCCTCACGCTCATATGCCGGGAGGATAAGGTCCTGGTTCCCGCGGCAACATGAATCTCACGGATACCTTGTTTGTGGACTCCAGTGAGTCTTGCTGGAGCCCTCTCTGTACAGATGCCCGTTCATAGACAGTGTCACGTCTTACACCCACTGCAGTCACTGTTGTAGTTCATTTGATAAATAGCAATTTCATTTTTTAAACATGTAAATGTTAATGATTCCCCATTAAAACAGTCTTGCAGAGTAGTATGATTAATACCTTTTTAGTTCTGATAGCTAAATGAATCTAATTATTTATATTACTAGTTGTACTATCTGTCATTTGAGATAAAAATTAATTTGTAGTGTCTGTATCTTCCAAGCACTGAACTTACAGCTTCAGCTGACACAGAAATATCATTTTGTCCTGTGATTTTGGAATACATGGTAAGGCTGTGCATGGCTGGTTATGTCATTTCTTCCAAAAGCCCCTCACACCTCAATTTAATGAAGATCTAGTTCACAAACTGTTGAAATTTGGAGTTCCCAGGCATCTTAGTATATTCTCAGCGGTCTAGGCCATTCCCTATGCTTGCTCTCTGTTCCTTTCTCCTCATAGCCGTCTGTCTGAATTTCTGCTTTCCTGTATGTTTCCTTGAGATAAGCCAATTACTTTCTTTGAACTTGCAGTTAAAGTTCAAAGAAGTTATCTAGAAAAGTGGGAGTCTCTACATGTTTCCTAGGGCTTACTGAGGAGGACTGGGCAGGGGAACTTCTTTTGAGTTTGCTGTCTGCCTGTGTTAATGAGATGGTTTTAGCTCTAGATCAAGGTCGTAGATTCTGAGGACAGAGAACTGGAAAGGAGGAAAATGCCAGCGAACTGCCAGGGAGATCTGAGACTGTGAAAGAAATGTCTTTCAGCAGGAAATGAAAGACATGTCGATTTTTCAGAAAATATAAATTACTCATCTAAAAATAATGGACTTAGTAAGTTGTTTTAACAACATTAAAATGTAAACGTTATTATATAAAAACTTACGTGTGCTGCATTGACTTAGGTGTGCAGAACTGAAGGATAGTGAGTTCAAGGCCAGCCTGGGCAAATGCAGGGTAGCAGTTACTGTGTTTGCCTGGCATGTCCAGGACCCTGTAGACTTCCCCCTCTTCTGGATTCCCAAATCCTAACAGTTAGTTGATAATTTTAATGTATCTTAGTGTCCAAAATACTAGATTATATCCATACTCTGAGGGCTGGATAGCATTGCTGAGAATAAATAAAGACCTGACTATGGAAAATTTAACTGTTTTTGGAGTACACAACAGCTTTATATCTGTTTCCTCTGAGTCTGTTTAATTGTTATCAAATCACAGACCTACTGAATTTACATGAGTCAAATGCAGATTGTCGCATGCCTGGAATGCCAGGAGTCAGGAGGGATAGGCAGGAGAATAACTGCCAGCATAGTCTTCCTTGTGAGTTCTAGGCCCACCAGGGTTACATAGAGAGACCCTGTATCAGGACAAAACAAAACCCACCCAAACAAGTATGTGGATTAATTAGGAGGCATCTCTGAGCATTGTGACATGTATACACACTTGATTGTCGACTAAGTAAACCAGCTCAGAGGAATGATGCACATGTGTGAAGCCAAGAACCACCAAGTTTTTATAAGTAATAATGTCCCTTAGGTTTGGCACAGACTTCTAAAACCGTGACACTCATAGCAAAATCCATTAAAATGTGCAATTTATAAACCATAGCTCATTAACGTGAAACACTTTTTTGCCCTTTGAAAGAAGCCATGAAGGCGAAAGAGACACAAGCTGTGTGTCCGTGATTCTGTTGAAGAACACTCAGCTAGTTCATTGGCAGAGCGCTTGCTCAATGTATTCCTTTCTTGTAGCTGGGACAAGATACCAACCAAAGGAACTTGACGAAGGGACTCTTCATTTTGGTTTATAGATCTGGGGGGGTAAACAGTCAGTTGTTGGTCTCCCGAGATGGAGGCAGACGGCACTGTGTCTGCAGACAGAAAGCAGTGAGTCATGAATTCCGGTGCTCAGCATACATTCTCCACTAAAATGTCTCTCTCTATGTAGGTGTGTATAGGTGCTCATTTTGTCACATCTGCTTTTCTTCGTCAGGGTTGGTGGAATGTGCCTTGATGCGGAACCACCTCTCCCACCCCAGTTGGCTCTTTTTATTCAGTCCTTGATCTCAGAGTTTGGAACCATGCTTTGTATGTGTGGATGGACATATGCTCCTGATCCTTATACCGTCACCTCTGGTGTGCTGGGATATGAGATACATCATACCTTGATTATACCTTGCAAATTTCCTTTCACAGAAGTCCATATGTGAGCTGTGACCAAGATGGCATGGTGTACATTTTTGGAGAGC